TCTTAGCTAAATGCACGTATAGATAACAAAATTAAAAAATCGATTTTGTGGAAAAAGTAAGCTGCGATCGAAAATATGTTATTTCATACTTTTGACTTATTTTTGCACCGGGGAATCACCTTCTTACTGCTTGTATTATCATTTCGATCGGATCTTGTATATGTATAATGCCTAATATAATGACGCGTTCGAATTCCTTCTTAATCTCTTCGAACATTCTTTCGAAATTCATTATCTATGTACGAATCTATCAGAAATCAAAGTATCCTTAGCGGTAAATATTCTAACAGACGTGAAGAAATGAAGAAATGAGAAAACAAATAATATTCAAATGCAGAAACTTTAAAATCACTTAATGACTTACACTACATTAACGTTTCATATTAGGAGTACATTAATAGCTAACGAATTAGGAAAGTATTTGATATATTTAAATGATAATATTAAAATGATTATCGGTATACCCTATTGGATATAGATGTATATTTACATAGACCGAAGGCTAAGGGACAAGGTAGAAAGCTTGTACAGTAGGTTTTTCGCAATATAGTCGAATGATAAAGTATGTCGAAATCATAATACGGTTTGCATTTTAATTAGTACGATGATTCTAATGTCGAAACGAATATACATGGTATGAAAAGGACGGTCTGTCTTAAGAGGCATGGATCAAGAGGTAATATCAAATTCCAGGAACTATAGATGCCAAGTAAAGAATATGTACATAATAACATACGGCATTTTCAACAGTCAAATCAGAATAAATCTTAATATGAAGAATTACGCATTTATTTCTTATATGTAAAAAATATCTTAAAGTAACGTGTTCATTTTATTTTCAGTCAATTCACTGTATTGAAATCGTAATTATTTAATAATTAATATTTATTATTCAGCATTAAAGATACATTTATTAAATTATACCGATGTTATATATTAAGAAAGTATTACTTTTTTATTTACTTCTGGTGTACATGAATTAACGAAAATCATAACATCACCAAACGTAGGAATCATTATGGTTTTAACATCGCATTGTTACTGATAATAATCCTTGACAAGGTATGCGAGGTAAATACGCGATGGTTATTCTTTCAGCAACGACGAAGAATAATCTCTTCATTATTCTTGGTAGCACGTTTGCATTAACATTCTGTTTGCATTAACTATTTTTATTACACTACATAGTATGGAAGTGTTTTATTGGCGAACAATAATTTACTGAAGGATATTCTTTAGTTTTCAGAGAAAAACCTTCCCGTATAATTAAACAAATGGGTTAACGACAATTTACGAAGCAGAAAATATTGCTTTCTGAAAATAAACAAAGGTTTTCGGGTTATGAACGACATCGATCGAATGTCAGCAAATTTTGAACAACGATAGAAATAAACGTAACTAATTCACAAAATTTTACGGAAGAACACGAAACTGTTTTTTCGAAGAGTACTCTTGAAATTTGATATAAGAAATAATTCAATGAATTCATATGAAAACATTCAAATAAACTAACAACTTTACAATCAAGTAGAATAAGAACGATCGACTTTTAATGAAATCAATATCTCCAGCTGAATTTTGTTTGTTTTTAAGAAATTGTTTCTTAATGCTCTATATACCGCATTTGTTCAACGCATATACGGTTTACGTTAATGCGTGTAAAATACTCGACTAACGCGTTTATCCACTCCCTCCAGTGTCCTCTGTGTTCGGCTATATAATTCGGTACCTTGCTCCAACAGTTGCAAAGAGCGTTTTCCCTTTCGCGACGAAGGGTAACTTTCAATGATAATTCTTTCCTTATATCATCATCTTCTAATTCGTTATTTTAATTATGAATATCGACTTCTTGTAGGTGCTGTTTTCGTTCATACTACTGTCACATTTTGACATTTTGGATTATAAGTGGAAGAACAGGATTCAGTTACAAAATGAAAATTTATATCCTACTGTTCGCCTTAGTGGCTATCGTTTGTGTGACAGCAGAAAAGTATTCCAGCAAATACGATGATGTGGACGTTGATAGGATTCTTCAAAATAATCGTGTCCTTACCAATTATATCAAATGTATGATGGATGAAGGACCGTGTACTAATGAGGGCAGAGAATTGAAGAGTAAGTATCGGGATCATTTTCATACGATCACATTGAAATTGTTCAAACATATCTAATTTGTCAACCCTATTATAACGATGTTTACGTTAAGTAAATAGTCTTACTTTGAATTCTATTTCCCAAATTATGCAACCTGACGTTCAAATAGATAACTTTGTCAATTTTATTAGAATTTTCAATCGTTTTACAAGCTTTTCAGCAATCTAAAGAAGTGAAACAGGACGTATATGATAGTTTATATTAAAATATAATTTAAATAAATAAAACAATTATTCGTAAGTAAAAGTAAAGATGTTGATTCGTCGGAAAGTTTCAGAGTATTTTAGAAGGATGAAAAAAATATAAATTGCACTTACATTTAAATGTCGATAAGTTTGAGTTTAGTTTAAACAAATAAATTATTAACAAAAAATATGCGGTATTATATTAGTTTGCTTAAATATACCTCTAAAATTTCACAAAAAAAAAAAAAAAAAAAGGAAGAAATGTATGTTTCTCCTTCTACTTATAATCGTTCGTAATAATTTTATGTTTTAAATATGTTAGAAATAAAAGTAATAGAAAAGAATTTCTCTCAAGAAAATCGAGAAACAATATATATATTTTACGTACGTGAATAAAAGTTACGCTGATTTCCTTCGGAAATTTCTACGTGCATCTGCTGCAACGATTACGACAGAGTTCAACTTACTCTCTCTCTCTTTATTACATAACTTGCTTTGAACTTTCTCGCGTGGATTGCATCGAACTCTCTTAAAAGTAAGGTCTAACTTGTTATTACATGCGTTAAAGTATTATATCGAAGGATACAAATAGGAACAGAAAGAAATTCAAATATTCTAATACAAATGTAATTCTTTTAACATTTATCATAATATTGGAGTAATTTCTATTGCAACAAAGAAATCACTTTAATGTATTTATTCTAAACAAAGGCAAGAGCAAAGCAAGATTTTAAAAACATGTTACTTTGCATATTATTCACCAGAAACCATTATCATTTAGTTATACTATTTAGATTTATGCATATTATTTATATTGATTGACTACATGAAATACAAGGTTTTTGTGTAAAAAAATTGCGGAATTCACATGATCAAATAAAAAAATTCGTATGATCATAAAAAAAAAATTGTATGATATTAAATGACGTTTTATATGGATGTATTAAAATTTTTTGAAATAACTGCAAAATTTTTGGAACAAAGGGACAAAATATTAAATAATTCATGCATTTACTGTTTTAGAAACTTTACCTGATGCTTTATCCACGAATTGCAGTAAATGCAATGAAAAACAGAAAATCACTTCGGACAAGGTAATAAATCATCTAAAAACTAAGAGACCGAGAGATTGGGACCGACTTGTCGCAAAATATGATCCAAATGGAGAGTACCAGAAACGTTATGAAAATGTAACGTTTCAATCCGGCAAAGAAACTTAAATTTACATTTATATATCTAAATGTAGATTTGTGTTAATTTGTATAATAAAAATGTAACAAAAGTGATAAAACAGTTAAATGTACATATATAAACATTTAAAATATGTCTATTGCATCATATGAACGAAGACTGCACCCTTCATGCAGAGTCTGCATGAATTTTAGTTTTTCTTGCTATAAATAAACTTCTTCAATGCTATACATAATCTTATTACACATATTAAGTAAATGTATAAAAGTCAATGTATGCACATTTTCTCTTTATAAATATATGTTCTTTTAAATTAAAGATATCTTATATTTTGCATTATTTTTGTAAGTGATCATTAATAAAGCTCATTTATTTAAAAGTCTATTTATGAATTAATTCATATATTAATTCATACACATAATACAAGTTGTAGTGAAATATTTATAACTCAGAAATATTAGGATTAAAATTGTATTTGAAATCATAAATAGAATTATATTTTCATTTCATTCAACTCGTCTTTTCTTAACAAGTGATCCAAGCTGAAAAAAAATTTATATCAGTTTTAATAAATACATCTTTATAAAAACACGATCAAACGTGTAAAGAACTTACAAGATCTGAAATTGCAGGTAAATTATTAGTTTGATCTGTAACATTTGTCTCTGGTTCTCTGCTTTCCTTTGGTGGAGCAGTTTTCTTCATATTTCTATGTTGTGGAAAAGTGGGCATAAGCTTAGGGTCACATGCTACAAAAAAATTAAATTCAGTGATAATTAATAATGTTAAAATACAATAGTAAATACAGTACACATTAGCCTGTTACTTACGCAAAGGAGCTTCTTTAAAATAGCTACTCTGTAAACATTCTTCTGCAGTAGCCCTTTTTTTCGGATCATACATAAATAAGAAATTTAATAGTCTTAAACCAGCAGCACTTAACCATGGAAATCTTTGTTTTAAATTATTGTACGGTTGTTGTTTCAATGTAAAATTTTGTAATGCTGGAAGTGTGTTAAATTCAGGCCAAATTGCTTCACTTGGTGTTCCTAGTAAATCAACAATTAATTCTAGCTGCGCAATTTCTGACCGTCCAGGCAATAAAGGTCGATGCCCAAGTAATTCTCCTAAGAAAAAGAAAAATTTAAATTATTAGATTAAATAGTTTAATATTTAATACAAATAAAAAGTAAAATGTACAACACCTAAAATACAGCCTGCAGCCCACATATCAACAGAAGTTGTTTGAGTTTTTGCTTGTAATAATAATTCTGGTGCTCTATACCATAATGTTACTACTCTAGGTGTCATTGGTTTTAAAGGCAAGCCAAACCACCTTGCTAGTCCAAAATCAGCAATTTTTACACATCCTTTATCAGTCATTAAAAGATTTGAAACTTTTAAATCTCTGTGTACAATAAAGTTATGATGCAAATAACGCAAACCCTTCAGCACTTGTAACACAATACATTTGACTTGACTTTCTGAAAATGGAGCTTGCATATTATCCAATAAACTTGCTAAATCTTGTTCACAATATTCCATTGCAAGAAATATGCTTTCTAGACTTCTGCCCACTACTACTTCTTTCAAATGTACAATATTTTCATGACGACAAGATAGAAGGACAGATATTTCTCTCAAACCACTAACTGGAAGACCATCTTTTTCATGTTCCATTCGAACCTTTTTTAAAGCTACAACTTTGTCATTTTTGGTATCTCTTGCTCTGTAAACAATTCCATATGTACCTTCTCCTATTCGATTCAATTTTTCAAATTCAGATACAAATCTGCATTTACCTAGCTATAAAAAAAAAAAATAAAATACTATTTACTATATTACAATAAATAGGATTAAAATCATAATTCAAATCATCATAAATAATCACAAAAATCATATTCAAATCATTACAATGTCTTGTTCTGGTATTTCCATTGGTTTGCCAGTCAAAAATGATGTTAATACTCCTCTTCTAGTTATTGGTGCTGATGGATCAGGACCAGATTCAGATGCAGCCTTTTTATCGGTATCATTGTTTTCTACTGATTTTTTCTCCAATGTTTCGTCTAAAACAATATTGAAATTTCATATAAACTAGCTTTCAGTTATTATTCAATATAATTTTCATTAAATGTCATAAACATCTTCATAATTGTTTCTTTACAGTTATTGGTATCACTTAAAAATTACTAACAATAAATTTAAATTTAAATAAATGTTTAAAAATTATTAAAAATACAATTATTTTAATATACAAGTATACAAGAAGATGTAACCGCTTAACTCATGCAACAATGTTTACATCATAATTATAATGATATGGTATTATACCTTTTGTCATTGTGATATAATTTTTTTAAAGAAGTAGTTTTAAAACTATATTTATTCTTCTCTTCAGCATTCGTACATAAAAAACGTATGCAGATGCAAAAATTACTGACTAACCACGACAAAGAGACCCGGTACAACAGTTTTTAGTGATCTTCAATAGATAGCTTGCACCACTGAGTATACAACAGAAAGATTTATCAAGAATGTATAAATACCACTGAAAAACTAACGTATACGCCCTCTTGTGTTACACCTGAAAAAGCAAAACAAATGAATACTCTATATTTATAATATAATTATGTTTAAATGAAAAAACTGTTGATATTATTGTGTTGATTATTACGTTTTTATTTACGTATGTTAGATTAACAGATTTTTAAATCATTGTTAAAAGTATATTTTACACATTTTAATGCATTCTATACATGCTAAAACATTTATATTTGTAATACAATGAATTTATATTTCATATTGCCTTAAATATAATATCATTTATAAAAAAGTAATATTTATTCCTTATGTACTGTTATTTTTTTCAATTTTATGTTTATGAAATGTAAACAATATTATTTCTTTTTTCATCGCGTTACTTTTCAATAGTAGTGTGTTTTTCATCTATCTTTAGTTTTTGTAAGCTATGATATTTATCTTGTGATCGATGTATGATATTAGTGAGAATTAGTACAAAATTTATTCATTGTAAAATAATGCGTTTACAAAGTGAACATGTCATTGCTTTTACATTAAATTGATTTCTTTAAAATTTGTTTAATTTGTTTAAATTATTTGGAGTTACAAACAGTGAAAAAACTAAATGCGCAATTTCGACATGAACTCGTAGAATACTTCAAGGATATAAAAATAAAAATTAAAAATTGAACATTAAAAATTAACCTTATTTTTGTTCTTTAACGACTATTAAGTTATTGTGAAAGTGGTGTATTTTTGTCTTTTAATTAATGTAAATGAATAAATGTTAGAAGAGAAATAATGTTAAGTGTATTGACGTATTATGTTATCGATGTTGCTTGATGTTAACGAAGTGTTATATTTACCAGTAAGGAAAAGTTTAAAAAGAAAATTATTCAGTTGATAAAAGAATTAAAAACAGTTTTATACTTAAAAGAACAGAACGTAAGAAAATGTGTTCTCAACATGAAATGGACATAATAGTTGAACGTCTTCATACTGATGTCATAAATCACATTAGTACTCTTTCTGAGAATATTGGTGCTCTTTACCTCTCTGATGATTATTCAGATGTGACTTTAATTGTTGGTGGACAACGATTCAATAGCCACAAAATTATTTTAGCTGCACGTAGTCAATATTTCAGAGCTCTTCTATTTGGAGGTTTAAAAGAGTCTACTCAACGTGAAATTGAGTTAAAAGATGCTAATTTGGTTGGATTTAAGGGTTTACTCGAATACATATATACAGGACGAATGTCTCTTACAAATCAACGTGAAGAGGTATTAATTCTAACTTAATTGTAATTAATTTAAATTGTAATAAATTTTACTATTCAATTAATTATTATTTTTTCTAGGTGGTATTGGATATTCTTGGATTAGCACATCTATATGGGTTTTCAGAACTGGAAGCCTCTATATCAGATTATCTTAAAGAAATATTAGATATAAAAAATGTCTGTCTCATATTTGATGCAGCACTTCGGCTAGAATTTCTTACTAGGGTATGGACAAGATGTCAAAGATGCCATCCAAAAGAATGGTTGAAAATATGCAGCGAAATTAATCTATTCTAGGTTTGTCACGAGCACCTGGACGAACACGCATGTAACATGATTAAACATGAGAGCTTTTTGCAATTAAGTGCTGATGCTTTAAATGAACTTGTTTCAAGAGACTCCTTTTATGCACCAGAAATTGATATCTTTTTAGCCGTACGAGCATGGGTAAAAGCAAATCCTGATGCTGATGGGAAAACTGTTTTAGGTAAATACAAAAGCATTAAAAATGGTAAAAAAATCTATTTAGAGTCTACTTTGCAAGTGTCAGTTATAGGAATATTATAAAATAGATTTGACTAATTCTGTAGATAAAGTACGATTAAGTTTGGTTTCAATCACGGATCTTTTGAATGTTGTACGACCAACTGGATTGGTTTCTCCAGATGCAATCTTAGATGCAATAGCTGCAAGAGCACCATCACGTGATTCTGATCTTAATTATCGTGGTCAACTACTTATTGATGTAGATGTTGCCCGTCCTGTATATGGTGCTCAAGTTCTACAGGGTGAAATGCGTAGTTTTCTTTTAGATGGAGATACAAGCAATTATGATATGGAACGAGGGTAAATTGATAAATTCATTTTTTAAGTTATTCATTTAAATAAAATTTCTCTTTCATCAGGTATACTAGACATACCATCTCTGAATCACAAGAACATGGTATTTTAATTAAATTAGGAACTCAAAGTATCATAAATCACGTTAAAATGCTTCTTTGGGATAAAGATATGCGTTCCTATTCTTATTACATAGAGGTAAGTCAAGAAGAAAAAATACTGAATGCTTAATTCTTATATTTAATTCATTCATTACAATCTTTTTATTTTTTGGGTAGGTATCTATGGATCAAAAAATTTGGGTTCGAGTTATTGATCATACAGAATATTTTTGTCGCAGTTGGCAATATTTATATTTTGAACCCAGAGTGGTTCTTTATATTCGTATTGTTGGGACAAACAATACTGTAAACAAAGTAAAATCATTATTACACAATTATTATTAAAAACACTTTTAATCTCTTCTGCAGAGTTTGATTTTCATAACTTCTATTTTTAAAGGTTTTTCATCTTGTAAGTTTTGAAGCTTATTTTACAAATCATACAGAAAAACTCTGTAATGGTTTTGTTGTTCCAACGCGTAAAATTATTTGTTTAAATTTAGGTCCCGAAATGCTCTATTAAATGGTGATACATCAAATTACGATTGGGATAGTGGATATACATGCCATCAAGTTGGATCTGGTTCTATTTTAGTACAACTTGGACAACCATATATTATAGACTCTATACGGTATGCATTCTTTCATTCATACATTGAAATAATACAGTCAAAATAACATGAGGTTTTCTAATAAATATTTATTTGTATATATAGATTATTGCTTTGGGATTGCGATGATCGTTCGTATTCTTACTACATAGAGGTATCCGGCAATTCATGGAACTGGGTTCTAGTTGCTGACAAAACTAAAGAAGCTTGTCGTTCATGGCAAACGATACGTTTTGAATCCCCTCGTCCTGTTGTTTTTATACGTATTGTTGGAACACACAATACAGAGAATGAGGTTACTAATTGCAAACACTATACATATATACATGGAATGCATGTTTAATATGTATAATAACATTGAAAAACGAAATAATTATTTTTAATGAAATACATTTATACATATCTAAAGATTTTATAAAATATTTTTATATATTTTGCTTTATAGGTTTTTCACTGTGTTCATTTTGAATGTCCTGCTCAAATAAATGATAAAGTTGTAAGTAAATCTTCAGTACAGAAAGGAAAGCAATCAAAAGGTCAAGATTCCATGCTTTGGTTAGTGCCAGTACCTCCAGAAACGGCTACAGAAGCAGTAAATATTGATCAAGAAGGAGCAAATTCCTCAGATTACAATGTTTTTTAAGATAACTAATTATTTGCGAATAAACTGTGCAAAATGTCATTGGTACTTTGAAGAGTATTAAATTTTGTTTTTTAATTTTATTGTTCTGTGTTAAATACTTGAATGCTTGTATAGTATAGTAATATAAGTTGTGATTGTAAAAATAATTGTAAAATAAATTTTTTAATTACAGTACATTTTTAATTTAATAAATTGCATCTTTGTTCTTTTCCTTATATCCAGATATGAAAGGAAAAAATAGATAAATAGTGTACTAATGTTTAAAAATGTGCACATTTATCCTGCACATTTAATAATTAATAACAGAAATTTAACAATTTAGAATTTTTAAGTACAGTAATTATTGGTAAATTTTAATTCTTTCATTATAACAAATAATTCTATCAAATTACATAATTCAGATTAAACAATTAACGAATACGTGTAAAAGAATTAGAACCCTTTTTAATGCAACTTGTAACTTATTTAAAGACCTAAGTTTTAAATTATGTAATTAAAACGCATATCCAATCAGTAATAATACTATATTACTGTTTTGAAAATTTCCCTAGTGACTTCATTTTTATTATTCAACTATAAAATTTTTATATATCATACAAATTGTGACTTTTAATTTAATTAGCACTGAAATATAAAAAAAAATTAGTCTTGCAATTTTTGAAATTATTTACTTTGGAGGTTTGATTTGTGTTTTTGTATCAAGTGTAGTATTTTCATAGGCGTGCAATGTACTAACACATTTACTGGTAACTATATAGATACATATTACAGTGTATAAGCGGTACTAGTTCGCAAGTAAGTACCGTTTTAATGTGGTGGTATTAATGCAATATACATTTGTACAATTTAAGATAAGTAATAGTGAAATAAATTAAAATTTGACAAAATTCATTTTCCAAACAAACACTTTTTGATGCTTTTAAACAGATATTGAACAATAAAAATGATGAGGTGACCAATCTACTTTAATTATAAACACGACTACGTAACATGAATATGAATAGTAGACATAATTAAAAGCATCAGCGGTAGAATTAACAACATAAGTGAAAACAACGATAATAACGCAATTTAAAAGGTTTTTTGAAGTATACAAATCTTCTAGACGTCATGCCTCGAAAAACACATAAAAGTATCGATGTTTGACTTCAAATTACAAACATATTTAATAAATCTTAAAAAGCCTTCATTAATTTTAATAATTATTAAATATACAACTTGAATACTTCACAATTGAATAGTGAACTTCTCTTCGTGAACAATTTCTGTGTAATGAAAGTCTTAACATAACTATTCTATATAATATGTTATATGTTGGAAATGGAATACAAGAAAATTGCTATTATATTAAAAGGGATTCGATCAGATAAAGAAAGGCATATTGCCATTGCTGCTATAATTTTCCTAACAAGGGTAAACGGTCATGGCTGAAAACTCTGAAAGTGAAAAATACCCTTTACATAGATGCATATTTCAAGGGGACGTTAAAACTTTAAGTTCTATAATCAGGACTTATAACATTGCTGAAAAAGACAAACAAGGTCAGTGTTATAGACTTTTTAATTGTGTACAAAATATGTAATAATAATTAATTACAGTTCAAAATAGTTTTCAGAATAATTTAATATATATTAAATTTTAAATAAACTTTTAGAATCAGTTCAGTTGTTGCTTGCACATGGTGCACCAGTGAGTGTAAAAAATTTGGCTGGATGGAGTCCACTTGCAGAAGCAGTCAGTTACGGAGATAGGCAAACCAGTAAGTATAAGTAATTGCAAATTATGATCATCATAAAATAAGTTCAGTATAATTTTTGTATCCTTTACAGTATCATTACTGCTGCAAAAATTAAAGCAACAAGCTAGGGAGCAAATGGAAGAAAGAAAACCAATTTTAGTTGCAACTTTACGTCAAATGGGAGATTTCTATATGGAATTAAAATGGGATTTTCAAAGTTGGGGTATTTAATACTTTATTTGAATTGTGGTTTGGAAGTTTTAAGATAATAGTAACTTATAAATACTTATAATTTTCCAGTACCACTTGTTTCTCGTGTTCTTCCTTCTGATGTTTGTAAGATACACAAAAGTGGAGCATCCATCAGAATGGATACTACTTTAGTAGATTTCAATGATATGAGATGGGAAAGAGGTGACATATCGTTTATTTTTCATGTTGACCAAAAACCAAGCAAATCATTGGCAGTACTTGATAATAAAGTGAAACGTTATCAAAGAGTGGTATATGAGGTCAAATTACTTTTTTATTAGTCAATATTTGCAGTTAAATATCTTTTATTATCAGTTACAACAATAAATGTATAGCCACTAATTCATTTTTTAGCGAAAGAAATTGGAAATACAAGATGAAGTTGATATTCTTATGTCAAGTGATATCATAACAGCACAAATGTCAACAAAAGGTATTACACTTTCAAAAGCTCAGACAGGCTGGATATTTCGCGAAGACAAAAGGGTAAGGCCAGCATTGTTGGTTTTGCCTATGATTCTTCTCCTCCTTCTCCTGCTCTTTTCTTAAAATTTTTTTGAGATATATCTCAAATATTTAATAAAGGAGATGGTAGGGCCTTTCCGCGCGGACTTTTACCAAATCAATGGAATGGTTTTGGAAAGTAGAAAACGGCGAGAACATTTAAGCGAAGAAGATCTACAGAAGAATAAGGCTATTATGGAATCGTTAATAAAAGGAAATTCACAGGGATTTGCAAATGGAAAGGTAAAGAAAAAAGAATAATTTTGTTTTACTTAGATATACTGATTTATTAATTTTTAGCCTCATGCTAGAAGAGCTTCTTTAAATCCACCACCAGAGTCAAGTATTACTTGGGAAGAATACATTCTGGCTCCACCTGGTCAATGTCCACTTCTTGGAAGAAATCTTGTTTGCAAGGAAAGCAGTAAATCATTTAAAGCAACAGTTGCCATGTGTCCGGATTTTCCATTCACTGTTGATATGTTACTCAATGTTTTGGAAGTAATAGCACCATTCAAGCATTTTAGTAAATTGCGAGAATTTGTCCTGATGAAATTGCCACCAGGATTTCCCGTAAAAATTGATATACCAATTTTACCGACGGTGACAGCAAAAATCACTTTTCAGGAATTTGCCTTTCGTAACGATATAGATCCCCACTTATTTCAAATACCACCAGATTACCTTGAAGATCCTATGAGGTAAATTTATAAAACTTTTATGGTTTTTCTTTCATAATTTATTTTATTAATTAAATTATTTTATTTCAATTGTCCTGTTTTCCCTTATAATTTTATTTATCTCTTTAGATTTCCAGATTTATGACAGCTTCAAGTGCTAAAAATAATTCAAGTCAATTATCATGTTAAAATGAAAGCTGTATTTTCTCCAAAAAGCTATTTGAAGAAAACTATCTGGCTTTTCAATTTTCTCAGACATACTGCTGCCAGGATGGCCTCCCAAAACGTTACGAAGTACTCTTTAAAGAAAGATTTTGTATACAAAATGTAGCGAGTATTCTTGTTGAAGAAAGTACACAGTAAGTTTGAGGGATGGTATACTCTATTTAAAAAGTTATACACTAAATCCTACAAAAAACAAAACTTATCAAATTTGTGCACATTAATGCATACATTCTACACTATGAGTGCATAAAAGATAATTATGTTACACAAATTTGAATTCTTCTCTTGTGTATTTAGCAATTACTATTTAAAAGATATTTTATTTGAGAAGTAGAAATATTCGCAATATTTATTTACAGAGAAAGTCTTTGTCTCTTTCAAAGAGAATATCTCTAATTAATAAAAAATATGGGAGGCGATTATTACAAATAAATTCTTTTGCAACATAACGGCCAAATGGTGCCTCCCACACTACTTCATCCTAATGTATCATCAATGTGGTCTTTAAAATGTAATGAAGCGATTTATTGGGATTATTTTAAGTTCAAGATTCTACACACACCTTATGTTTCACTAGCTCATCTAGGTTTGTAATACTATGTAATACATGTATGTGTGTGCTTAGTTTAAAAACTTTTCAAATAAAGATTATAACAAATCATATTATTGTATACATTACTTAGATGCAATAATAACAAACATGTATATTGCGTGTGCACACATAAAAAGAGAAAATCTTTATAAAAGTACATGCAGTAATGCTTAATAATTAATGAAACGTGAATTTATTGTCATCGTAACAATTATCAATATGAAATAATTATTGTAAACCGCTCATTTATATAAATACTTGTATGTATTGATTATCTCAAGAATTTTAAAAGTGAAAATCAGGACATTCAATTTTTTCACTTTGTAAAGATTGGACATATTAAAATTTTCTCTACAAATATTAAAAATATAGTATAAGACTTGAGTTAAACATATCTTATTTTTATCATCATTTAAATATTGTTTTTAAATTCTTTAAGTATTCTTTGTGCAATTAAGAGATGAGTGCTTTAGCACTATACGGATATCGACCTTGTTCCTAGGATTGAAGTTGAAGAGTTGATTTTCCCAAGGCAAAAAAACATTTATGTAAAAGTAAAATGTAGAAACAGAAGCTGACCAAGAGTTTTAAATTTTATTGTGAGTTGAAAAATTTAAAAAAAGTCAAGGAAGTATGTGATAACACTTAAATTGAGTTCATAAGTTATCATTTCAATGTACTAAATTTAATAAATCTGATAAAATCTTTTAGTTAGTTGAATTTCGCTTGATTCGGTTCTGCTCAGTTCAATTCGAGACCGTTCCGCTTAGCAGCAGATACTGACTCATCAGTTTAGACAGGTACAAAAAACTGTTGGTTGATGTCTTTTATAAGACAAAAATCTAATTGTATTGATTAACATTTATAGAATTGATGAAATTTCATTTATTTAAAGAATGCTGCATCGTATGAAATTAATTTTGTGCTTTTGCATCATTCTATGCACGTCAAGCAATAAAGCCGACGACAATGAACCTCCATTAACCAAACTTAGTACAAAAACAGGACCGACGTTAAAATTTTTTTATTGGTAAGTTTTATTAATTTAATTGCAAAGTAATCGTTTTTACTTCGTTTATTCAATATATTCCACTTTTATGTACTTATTTGTACAATCATAATTTCATCGATTAATCGTTAATTAAATTTTTCGTTTGTTTTTGCAGTTACTCTTGTGGATATAGAAAAGTCTTTGAAGAATATGTCAGTATTCTTCAGCAAAAGTATCCAGAATTAAAAATTGATGGAGAAAACTATATTCCCTCTAAAAATAAAATACTCTTTGCTAAATCATTCGTAACTATAACATACTTTTTTCTTACTATATGTAACATTCAATATTTGGTAACATAACAATTATATTTTTTTCTTTAGTGTTTTTTGAAAATAGCACTGCTAGTTCTAATAATAAGTGGATTTGACTTCGCAGAGCTAGGAGAACCATCATCACTGTGGCAATGGTGCATAAACAATCGATTTTATTCTTGCATAATGATATTTTTTACTTTTAATACGATAGAGGGGTATTTCATGTCATCAGGAGCTTTTGAAATACATTTCAATGGTAAACAATACTTTAATTAATATTTAGAATAAATATTACTATATACCATTTTAAGGAGGTACAATTTTCATTTACACCAACAGTTTTAAAGTAATTTTTACTAATAATAAAAAAGTGAATAACTACAAAATTAGTGTTTATACATGTCTTACTGATACTTTCATTAAGTAAACAAAAAAATTATAGTCTGTTAACAATATTTTAGGAATTAGAGTCTTTTGCACACTTTATGTTTGAAAAATTCTTTCCAAGTAGTAACACTAATTGGGCCCCTTCTACTTGTATGAAGTGATGAATGATTCGAAGTTTATTTTAATCCCTGTGAATATGGCTGTTATTTGTACCAAAATAAATAATATACAAAAATATTTGATAAAATAATCTGCTAAAAGAGTTACAATTTTGCAAGTTCCAAGAGGTGTGAAATAAAGTACTTGTTTAGTTGTTAAAAGTTGTCAAAAGTTCTTCAAATATCTATGCTGTAAGGTTAAGAAACATTGTTTCGACAAAAAACATGTGTAAAGTTTTTCATATGTGTAATATGACTTGAATACTCTGATAAAATATCTATAACTTAGCATTTTTTCTAAGTTGAACAAAATGTTAAGGGACAATATTTTTAAGACAACATATATTCAAAAAATGCAATAATCAAAATATCGATTTTTTCATCTTATACACAAGAATACCCCCTTAAGGTTATACTTATAATAAATGACTTAAATGTAATTGTTTTAGATGTTCCTGTATGGTCCAAACTGGAAACTGGTAGAATACCACAGCTGTTTGAACTTTTCCAAATAATAGAATCTCATTTGAATATGCAATATCCAGATGTAAATATAGTATAGACTAATTTTATTAAGAAATCCAGTACCGTTTTTATTTGTACCAAATGTTAAATCATTGTGGTTATGAGACTTTTATTTCTGCAATTCTGTAATTGTTCAAAACATACCATCATTTCCATGTTTTGTACATGCATTCTGTTATAAACCTTGCTATCTCAATTAAGTTAAGGCAGAACATACGAAATAGATAGAGTTTGCATGAGAAAAGCTAGAATAAAACCTTTTAATATTGCTCAAATACTTTTTTATTTTCCATTTTAATTTAGAAATTGGTAAAGAAAATAAATAATGTTACTCACAGATAACGAATGTAAAAGGTAGAAATTAATAATATTTCTTAAAGTATAATTCTTAAGATATTGAGATACAGTTTAATCAAAATATATTCGACATTTTTATTTAAAAATACATGTAACTTACAATTACCTTTGTTCAAATTCTTCTCAAATAATCACTTTTGCCTTCAATATTAATTTTATACTTTATTTTATCACATAAAAAATATATTCTTTTTTATTAAAACAATAATTT